GCTGTTGAAATTTCTTAACACAGAATTTTTGACAAAAATTATATATTGTTAAATTTGGGAACACAACGCAAAATGTAAGCCGGTACGCCAGGACCACTGGCAGCCTTTTAGGGCGCTATCGGCTAGACAACCAGAAATGAAAAAACAAACTACAGATACCTTTAGGCACTTTAGTCTGGATTCTGGTACATTGGGATACTGTCAACACCGTAAAAAGTGTAATTCACACCAAAATAGTAGTAATTGATATCTTTACTTCGAAGATAATAAAAGGTGTGCTTTTAAACATTTTTTACATTTAAATAATAAAAGTTGATATAGAAACATTCTACTAGAGAAAACCTGGCAGGCTGAAATTGAACATTAGTCTGTATTGTTTTCTTGTAAGTTTGTCATATACAATTTTAGTCTTTTAGACCATGTCTGACCATTGTTTTTGCATGTTCGGTTCGGTGTCCCTGATGATGACGTAATTGCCGAAGCGCTTGGCATTAATTATACGCACATACACACTTCATTACAGAAACTTGTTTGATTGAATTTCATCCAGTGTGTACACACCAACTTCTTGTTGAAATTGGAAAACTCAATTAGAATTTAAATATTTTTTAAATTGAACAATACACTGAAAATTCAAGAACACTTTGAATTGAAGATATCAGTGAGATTATAGCAAACAGCATTGGTTTTAATTGTTTTACTGCTTTCATTTGTATAAGAGCCGTTCGTTTTATTTCAGGTTGAAAACCTGAACTTATTATTATCAAATGGTATATGTCTTAAAATCTATTTTATTGAAATCAAATTTAAACAAGTTGAAAAACCCAATTCAGAATCCAGCAACTCCCTTGTCGTTCTTGGCTAGATAAATATTACATGCAACAATATAAAATACATGCCAAAATGGTACTAAAATCCTTTGATTATAAAACTAACGTTTTAAGTTAGTTTTATATTCAAAGCTAAAATCAATCTACATGATGGCAACCAAGAGAAAAGTAATGCCAAACTTACCGAAGGCTGCACAACATTCTTTAGTATACAGAAACAATATCGTAAAGGAAATGAAAAGGAATAGAGAAATCCATAAAACTTCAGTTGCGTCTCGAAAAACTAAACTCAGTTTAAGCTAAGGGTTTATAATGGGTGATTTTTTAGAGGTATTGAACTTTAAATTGATATAAAACTCATCAAATTCATGTAAAGGTCATGGTACTGGCTTTATTGAAAATACAATTGTATGCCATTATAGGTTAAATATGATTTGGGGGCGCTACGGGTGGCTCGAATGAAGAGCAATCCACGAAAGAAGTTCAATTTTTGACCACTTTGATTCCACTAGACCGTAAAAAAAAACTGATCACACAGTGAGTCTCCTGGATATAATGGCGTCTCAATAATGGCTTTAGGATTTTGAATTTTCGTCGCTCCAAATTCGGCAAGATAATTGATGAATTGCAGCGCCACCTGTCAAAATAGTAGAAAGAGTTTTGAATAGATTATTCTCAGTTTTTGACGTACTATTCGAATCTCTAATAAAATGTTGTGGTTACCATTTGAAATTCTCAAGTTGGCCCCTGCCTAGCCTACAATGTCGAACTAGGCGTTGTTTTTATGACACGAATAAACTTCTCCCTCCCAGATATTAACTTCTTATTTGAAACGTTTGTTCCTCGGATCACTCGTTTCCAAAATATTTAAGCGTTTCAAGATTTAAAAAAAAAACTACCCTGTATATCGCATGGCACAAAGAACCGATGATATATTTCGTTCGTTTCCTATCACAAACTGAATATTTTCGGCAGCTTTTCGAAAAAAACCCAAGTACCGCTTGGGTTTTTATCACATTCCGAACGCATCGAGCTCATAACTAACATGGTGATATAATCGTTTGCTTTCGCATCCTTTAGATATACCATCGGTTCACATTGTAGTTCGATTTCAGTTTTTTTGTTGTGGACAATGCTGTAAAAGGTCCAGTTCATGCGCCAATATTTTCAAAGGTAAGTTTCACGTTTAAACTCGTTTAATAAAATGGCAAAAATTCACGCATTACCATCAAATAACATTCCCATTGGGATGTGCTGTGCTTACTTCTTCTCGTTGCTTAGTTGGCTTACATACATGGCTTACATTTGTGAGCGGTTGTTCAAATGTAATCTAAAAACTTGCAACTTACGTGACTGAGTAAGTATTGAATGTATTTACATCAGTGACTGCCAGAAGGATTTGTCCAGTCCGTATTTCCTCTCTTCTGCAGCCACACTTGGGGTCCACAGAAACTTACATCAACCGTGGACGAATCCATAGAATTAGTGGCGGAGCTATTTGAAGAGAGTACAACAAATCTGTTCAAGGCTTGTCTAAACGGCAGCTACTTCCTGTGGAATGGAGATTACTACGAACAAAAGGAAGAAGTAGCCATGGGAAGTCCACTCAGTCCGGTAGTGGCAAATCTATTCATGGAGGAATTTGAGGAAACAGCGTTGAGCACCGCACCCCTTAAACCAACGATCTGGTACCGATATGTCGATGACACGGAAGTTGAACAAAACCACCAACTGGCCTTCCTGGATGTTTTGGTGTCTAAGCAGCGGAATCGTTTGGACGACAAGGTATATCGAAAAGCCACCCATACGGACAGATATCTTCACAAGGTATCTAACCACCATCCGAGTCAGAAGCAGGGAATCATTGAGACTCTTACGGATAGAGTCAGAAAAATATGTGGACCACATCTAACCACAGAACTACAGCCCTTGGAAAAAGCTTTTCGGATACGAATATTCCCAGTTGGACATCAAAAAAGCTGTAGAAGTGGGCCGTGCTGAAAAAAGTGAATCCACTCTGAAATCTTTCCTGCCCTTTGTTCCTAGGGTTACGGACAGAATTGGGAGGCTCCTGAGGAAACACAACATAAGAACACTCTAGAAGCCCACAACAAAGATCCAAGAATGTCTAGGGTCAGTTAAAGACAGAAGACCGCCCGTCGCAACTGCAGGAATCTACCGGATTCCATGCTCCTGTGCAAGCGTCTACATAGGAACTACTAAGAGATCGGTTGCGACAAGAATAGAAGAACACCGACGGAATTGCAAACTGGAAAATGTGGAAAGTCGGCAGTGGCGGAACACGCCTTCAGCGATGACACAACATCTATTTCGGAGAGGCACAGGTCCTGGCCACAACAACAGGCTATCGCCCCCGACTAATACGAGAAGCCATTGAAATCTACAAACACGACGACAATTTCAACAGAAAAGAAAAGACAATGGCGCTAAACAGGATATGGTTTCCAGCACTCACCAACGCAAAAACAGCAAAAAAAAGCAACAGCTCAGTGTACCTATTCTTGACGACTAGGGAGTAGAACAGCCGAGAGATGTGGGCGGGGTTTTATGACAGTCGGCCGAAACGGTATTCTTGAAAAAAAATTGAGAGGGAGCCGTTCCCCAGGGAGCGGGAATGATCGACTGGTA